TCATCAAAACTAACAGAAACGATCAATCTTGTCATGTTAGTTAGATAATTATATATTATAGTTTAAAAGCATTTAGTATGATGGTATCTTAACGAACACTTCTTTGTGGACAATATTTTTTTTGTATGTTTCCTTTTAATGCGTTGGTTGCTCTGCCTTAACCAGAACTCTTGTTGTCGATCTTGATATCCCTCTTGAAAGTGCAACATCCAGTTGTACGTGCAAGAAAACATATTGCGGTAAATATAATCCAATATTTAAGATGTTTGTCCTTATTCTGAGTTTCGAGAAGTGGTCCCGGGGCTCGGGTTTTACTAATTTCGAGATTTTTGATATTTTTCGATTGTTTTCGCTTGGGCTTTGTTCCTTTGGCATATTGTGATGTATTCGCTCTGGTTTTGGATAGATTCGACGCGCGTGGAGGCCGATTTGAGGGGCANATTATTTACACACAAATTTAAATGGATATTCCTTAGTTTCGGAAGACGAAAGTTGAATTCACGGATAAGAATATACTTAGAAGCACACTAACCAGTATCATAATTATTGCATCTATTACGTTATTGTCAAAAATTCTATATACCATGTGTGCTATTACATAAGCTATTCGGCGTATCGAAGTTTTTCAGTAGCATGACAGGCATATTTTTTCTTCAAAATTAACCTATATACAATGGAAGATCAATTTTAACTTAGTATATTATATATGGTGACACTAACATACCTAAGAAATAAGAAACTTGACAACAAACATATATGGTAGAAGACCATTTGGTATTAAAGTATTTAAGTATTCTTCTTGGTAGTAATTATTGGTATCATTTCTGCCGAGTCAAATACTGAAAAATATTTTATTTTAACTATAAAATTTTGCAATCAACCTTTTATTTAGTTGATCAACATATTCGTTTCTGCTAGCTAATATATCTTTTTAATTCTATCATGCGATTTGCACAAAATCTAATGACAGAAATATTTCTCTTATTAAATGCACTACTATTACCATTGGGATTGATAACCAAGTATTCATGAAGAACCAAATAATATTTTATTGGATGCTTTTCTTCGTTTCTGACACGAAGCAAGAATATTAGATATGTTCTTACTTTATATTTCTTGTCAGTTGAATCTTTTTCGTTTGAGGCCAGAAGTATAACTTTGGCAAGCTAGCTTTTACAGTCTCAGCTTTTATCGATTTTGGAACTCCTGGTACTACTTGACAGAAATCACCTCCCAAACCATTATTTTTTCACCAAACGCTTCATTAATATCCAATATATCTCTAGAACTCCGAGCAATTATTTCGATCATTTGACACTTAGCCATAAGTGATTCATCCCATATTATAATTATAAGTGC